TTATTACCACCAGACTAAGACCTGCATCATTCATGGTATAAATTTTACTCCTGCAATGTAACTACCACCTATTTCTTAAAATGAAATCAGTTTAGCAAATGATAAGATGCTTTGTTGTTTTACTTTGTTTTGTTTTTCAAGACAAAGGCAAGCTTCTCTAAGTTTGAATTTACAGTTATTAAAAAAGAAAAGAGGGGCACCTGGTTGGCTCAGTCAGTAGAGAGTATATGACTCTTAATTTTGGGGTTGTGGGTTCCAGCCCCACATTGAGCCTAGAGCTTACTTAAAAAAAACAAAAACAGGGGTGCCTGGGTGGCTCAGTCAGTTGAGCATCCGACTTCGACTCAGGTCATGATCTCACAGTCTGTGAGTTCGAGCCCCGCATCGGGCTCTGTGCTGACAGCTCAGAGCCCGGAGCCTGTTTCAAATTCTGTGTCTCCCTCTCTCTCTGACCCTCCCCCATTCATGCTCTGTCTCTCTCTGTCTCAAAAATAAATAAACGTTAAAAAAAAATTAAAAAACAAAACAAAAACAAACAAGACATATACACACAAATATCCAGGGCAATAAAAAAATATTTTAAACCAAAAACTAAGAAGAAATTAAGATATAATAAAATGGAAAGGGAGATACAACTCCATACATTGTAAAGATTAAAAGAAAGGATTTTTTTTTTTTTTAAAGAAAGGCAGACTGCCACATGCAGCACCTCATTCAGATGTGTCTGGAGTCTTAGAAGCTTGACTACCATATGTTCTCCTACAAATGGAGCTTGAGAGCCTGTTTGGAGGCTCTAGCAGTGGAGTGCGGCCATTCCTACACCCTTGACAAAACGGTGTCTGGGAAGATCATCCTCTTCAACCCAGTGTGCAGCCTCAGGAAATGCACATGGAGCATTGAGGGAGGAAGGGGAGATGGGCCTAGCCAGCTAGATCAGCCAAATCAGCCCTGGTGATCAATAGGGTGACAGATGTTGCAGCCAGATTGCCTTCCCATCCAAAAGAGAGGATATTTTTGAGACATTTAGAAATCTGTACGCTGGGGCACCCGGGTGGCTCAGTCGGTTTAGCATTCGACTCTTGATCTTGGCAGGTCATGATCTCATGGTTTGTGGGATCGAGCCCCATGTTATTAGCACAGAGCCTGCTTGGGATTCCCTCTCCCTCTCTCTCTGCCC